ACCAGAGAATAGACATTTACATTTTAAATAAAAAAAATTTCAAATGTGTGCGTAAATATTTTCGTCCAAAATGAGTGGTTTCAAAAAGTTAAATCGGATAATTTCTTCGAGAAAATTTCTGATACGCACGTGCTGAATTATATTCACAAAAAAAAAATAATAAATAAATAAAAAAGAGCAACATACATGATTATTTTTGTATTTTGAATAAATATTTTCTAGGATGCAAAACCTGAGAAATAAATTTTTCTGCACCGTTGGTACGTTAAATTTCACGGAAACGAAGAAGTTAGGTTCGTATTAACGAGAAAAGTGGAATTTTTACCGTATAGTTTTTTTACGAAAATTAACCGCAAAAAAAGACAACTAATATATTTTAGTTCGCGGGCCACAAAAAGAGGCTATTTTTCATTTTTTAGATTTAGTTAATGTCTTATTTTAGTAAATGGAATTTGTTGGAACAAATTATAAAATTACGTTTGTTAATTCCTTATAGCATTGTCTATAAAATTAATAATGAAAAATATTCGTTTCTAAAATTCGTAAGTACAAAGTTCAAGTATAATTTTGCGTTTAATTATTTATCTTTTTTTTCTTCCCCCTTTCAGTTTTTGAGGGATCCCTTCCCTGAATTCAAAAATTTATCCGGAGATACCCTAAGCTGTCAACACCAACGTTTCATTCGCACTTACAATTAGTATTTTAATATTTATGTGTCGTCTTCAATCTCATTCAGTTCATAACGTTCCACACAAATATTTTATTTATAATTTTGAAAGTGAAAGAAGCTACCATAAATATATTCTGAACAATGTTTAATTTTGGGTTCCGATTTTTCAATTGAAATAGATGTGAGGTCTGCATGGCCCACCCTAGAAGCTAATTCACAGGGGGGTGGTCGAAATTTCAAGCCTGTGTTCAGCCTGATGAATCAACAAGTTGCAACAATGAAAAACGGGGCTTTATCTATATGGCAACACATTTGAATAAGATAATCAAACAAAGAAAGAGAGATAAGAGACAGGTGTGCTGGGCGCAAAGTGACCCCCCATATTCGACACTGAGGTAGGTTCTATATTATATTAAAGAAACTGAAGTAAGTAGTATATCTGTTCTTGTGTCATTATTTGTACGTTATTCATATCCTTTGTTATTTAAAGTACAAAGTATGCCATTTTTTATTTGGATCATCTGTTTCTATAGGCAAAAACCAAACCACATAGACAGACTGAATCTTTTTATCCTGCTTTTTGTATCCCAACAAGCACATTATAACAACATGTAATTGTGCAGTGCGTAAAATAAATAAATAAGTTAATTAAATAAATAAGCAAATTAAATAAATAAATTAAGTCAATAAATAAATTAAATAAATAAATTAATTAATTAAATAAATAAATTAATTAATTAATTAAATAAATAAATAAATTAATTAATTAAATAAATAAATTGAATAAGTAAATGGATGAATCACCCTAAATGACTGTTGATCGAATAATCGGATCTTCAAGCGCTAGGACTCTATCTTAATGATTCGAGGGGGTGATCTCAAATATGCTAATTAAATAGTGCAGACGATATCATAAGTTATAAAAGCACGCACAAAAACGTACTAACTCAGAATAAACCCCCCTTTGATTGAAGGATTCGAATTTCGGACCCCCAAAATATAGGGGTTAGTCCCAATCTGGGAAACATGATTTCAATAGTTTGGTCAGGAAAACAGTCCAAAGTTTGGACCCCTTAATGTTAACTTTACTTAAGGTTAAATTTACTTTTATTTTAATATATCTCGATAACTTTTAAAGCGATTAGAAATTTTTTTTCTCACATAATTATAAAATTCGTTTATCTAAAGATAATTCCTTGCAGAATATAACTTTTAGTAAATGATTATCATTTTTATTATTTTATTAAATAACAATTTTTTACAACATCACTTCAAAGAATGTAATTTTACATGTAAAATTTGAGCGGAATCGGTCGAATAGTTCTTGAGAAATCGAATTTAAAAAATAGAACTTTTTTAAAATTTGCTCTACCACGTTTCTGTTTTCGGACCCACTCGCATTATTAATTCCAACGAAATGACTCATTTTGAACACTTCTTAATAATGCGTAATACTTATTTTTTAATTATGAGTCATAATTATATCCTCTGAATTTATCACATAGACTTTGTATCATTTATTTAAATATCTGTAAAAGAACGAAATTTGAATTCATTTTAACCGAGTTAAGAAATTCTCAGCTGTTCACTATAAGCATTTGTAAAACAGCAGTTTGGACTGGACCACTATAACCGGGTATTCATTATAACAGTCAAACCCCGTTATAGTGAACATGGTTTACACTGAAAACCCGGATATAGTGAGCGTACCCTGATATACTCATATAATGTTATTTTTTGTGAATGTAGGGAATCAAAATAAGATAAGAAATTGGATATTATGAAATTTTCCTGTCTTCGTCTTATTTTTTCTTCTTCATTTTTTGGTAATTTTGAAATTTCTACATAAAATACATATACCGATTTTTAAGGCCGAGTGGAATGTAGCCATAAGGATTCTTTCTTGTTTACTTCTTCTTCCTAAGTTCCTCATCCCTAAATAAAGGGCATCCTTAAATTTTTTGTACGAAAGTTATAAAAAATAAAAGTTGACACATTTTTTTTTGTTACTGCATATTGTTTTTTAATCATTTTTGTATTTCTTTTTATTGGCCATTTATTTAAATAATGTGTAATAAAAGGGAAGAGTTTGTAAAAATTAGCTAAAATTGGTTGCAGTACGGATATAGTGAATTGAAATTTCGGTCCCTTGAAGGTTCACTATACTGGGGTTTGACTGTATATCGAGTTCATTATAAGGACGTTAGACTGTGTTTCATTTTCTAAACTAAGACACGAACAGATAAAAGTTTTGGTAGACATAATTATTATCATTTATGTTTAATACTTTCTTTTGAGCTACTAAAATTTCCTCAGAGTATGCAATTTTATGAAAATCATGTAATTTTATTTTTTATGTTATGTTTAATCTCTTTTTAAAAAAGAGAATAATTCGTAATAGACTTGAAACAATAGATTCTTTTGGTTCGAACATTTCTTTCGCCAAAAATAGGAGATGAATTAGATCAGAATAATTTACCACCGCTTAACTAGTTTTTAACATTGTACCTGAATGCACTCGTTTAATACATATGAAAATAATACTTTTATGTTTAAGCGTGGCATAGAAAGGAAGGTTTACAAATACTGTCGAGTTTTCAACCGTTTCATATTTAACTAAGATTCACGATAAAAATAATTTTCAAACGTAGTATCCGTTTACATAATTATTTAGAGTATAATTTAAACTTTCCTTTCCTTTATTTATGCTTAACACAATAAAAAAAAAGTACAAATTAGTTAAAACTGGACGACTTTTCTTATTTTAGAATCTTCTTTCATTAATAATCGACTTTTTCNAGTAGGAAATTTGTTTTTTTCCCCCCTTTTTTTGTAATTTCATTGGTGAAAAGTCCCTTTCGACCGCTGCAGTACACCCAGACAGAGAAAACATCAATTCCACCATGCGCAGAATGTTCCTGTATTTCTAGATTAGAGATTCATTTTAGAAGTGGGGGGCTAGATTCTTGTACATAACAAAACTTGAAAATATATCACGACCATTATCGGGAAACTGGCCGTCCGCGCGGACATCGGATTCGAGAAACTCGTTGTCCGCTGGGAATTTTTGACCGCCGAGGACGGGCGGACGGGCTGTTTTTCGAGCCCTGATTCGTAATAGACTTGAAATGATAGATTCTTTTGGTTCGAACATTTCTTTGGCCAAAAATAGGAGATCAAAATAATTTCTCACTGTTCAGCGAGTTTTAACATTGTACCTGAATGGACTCGTTTAATACATATGAAAATAAAACTTTTATGTTTAAGCGTGGCATTAGAAAGGAAAGTTTACAAATACTGTCGAGTTTTCAACCGTTTCATATTTAACGAAGATTCACGATAAAATTAATTTTCAAACGTAGTATCCGTTTATATAATTATTTAGAGTATAATTTAAACTTTCCTTTATTTATGCTTAACACAATAAAAAAAAGTACAAATTAGTTAAAACTGGACGACTTTTCTTATTTTAGAATCTTCTTTCATTAATAATCGACTTTTTCTCATTACAGTATAAAAAATTATAAAAATCAATAGTTATAAAAAAATTAATGATTTTTTAAATTTCATTTGTGATTAAAAATAGTTAAGGATAAGTACAAAGTAATTATGCATAATTAAGTATAAGTATTACAGTCCATATTAAAATTATTAGACGTACTATAATATTCTATGTAAAATCTTAATTATCATGTAATACTATACAGCTTTACTGTTTTTGTGCGACTGAAACCGGTTTGCACTTGATTACGTTCGTGTATCCATTGGTTAACATTGTAGCGCAATACGTTAAAAATAAATACAAATAGGAAGTATATAAAAATATACTGAGTAAAAATGCATTACATGTATGTTTCAATATAAAAGTATTGCCGATAAACTTGTACAAAACATGTCATTATTAAAAAACTATAGTGCGTCTAATCATTTGATCTAATTATTATAATATACTAATATAATGCCTGATACAATAAATATTCCATGTTTATATAATATATCGTCTAATTTGTCCAATCGTCGAATTTATATTATACATTATCTAATTTGACCAATTTATACAAGAGCGTTAGCAAGTGTAAACCGGTTTCAGTCACACAGAAACTATAAAGCTGTATAGTATCACGTGATAATTAAGATTTTATACAGAATCTTACAGTGCGCCTAATAATCTGGCCAGTGACTGCTAGTATTAATTAAGTATTAGTATGAATAATTAAGTATTAGTGTCAATAATTGAGTATTAGTATGAATGATAAAGTATAAGTACTGAATTAAGTAGTTTATTTATTTATTTTTTAATTTTTTTGTTTTATCATAGGGGGAAATCCGATGGACCTATCCACTTGATTAAGACACCTGATCTCCATTCAGAACTCTCCTCGACCATTATAGCTGGCAGCCAATCGGATTGAACGTGCTCTCCCCCCCCCACCCTCCTACTGTTTAAGAAGACATAAAATCTTGTAAGTACATGCAGATTTAGCCACAGTGTAGTTAACTGTTCCAAAATTTTGCTGGGAGATCATTTAAATTTGAGTAACAGGTTATAAATTGTGTCACTAAAAGTGTTGAAGTAAAGCGAAAATTGCAGCCTGGCAATGGGTAAGTAAAATTTTACTTTTAACAGAATTAATAACTATCTATAATTAATAACTGAACAAATTATATGTCATTTCCTTATTTCATAATTTAAGAATTTTAATAACATGAGCAAATTGAAAGAAGAAAAAAAATTATAATACTTTCTTTTGATCGAAATTTAAAGGGTAAGCATTATGCAGATTTTTAGCTAGAATAACCAATTGTTTAATCTGCTGGAAAAAAAAAAGTTGTTTTAAAGTTAAATAATATTCACAACGTTAGTTGATTTACAACTAATATTATCATAACTTTTATTTTTCATTTGTAGGTGTAGTGAATTTATAATTTTGCGTTCGTAAATCCCATGCATTTTATAATTGTTAGCGCATTTTCTTCAGTTCATGTTTTTGCATGTTATGTCTAAGAAATGTCCAATTGTTCTTAGAATGTCGTTACACTTTTTTTCCCTCCGTGATTGTAAAAAGGAAAGTTCATTCGCTGTTTATTTCAGAGAAATAATTCATTTAGGAAAACTTAATAGCGTTTTTATTATAAGAATGTTCAAATATTCTTTACCATTTTCTTTATAATGTTTAACAAAAATTTCATATCTAGTCGAACGGCATTAACGCGAAATCGTTTATGAAATATCGGTTTGCATTAAACACATGTTTTGTCCTGTAAGTCAGTAATCAATTATTATTGTACATATTTCACATGTTTAACGTGAAATTTTCAAACTGATTATCGTTTAACATGGAAAGAAACTAGACACAGCACAGATAAGCAGCATATGAATAAAGTGCCTATTATTCACTTTAAGGAATGTTATTTCTATCATCCATCTTTGTTAGAAGTAGTAGTTGGGCAAATTAATAAAATAGTTTAATAAAATTATTAAAATTTGTCAGCTTATTTTTAATTTGCTTGGTACATAAATGTAGTACATAATATGTATTAATAGTACGTAATAAATTGTTTATCGTATAAGATGAAATCTAGTTAACATAAACAGGGTGCGTAGCGTTTCTAAAAGGTGCTTATTTTATTCGGGGTTTGTAAAAAGTGCTTAATTTTCTATCTTTTAGAAAAATATTTTCTTCTTTGTCGTGTCGATTGTCGTTCTAAATTACAAATAATGCGTGATTTTCAAAGTTTTCTTAGCAATATTTATCAAAATTTTTTTTATTTAATCATGATTATGTCAAGTTTTTTAAAATGTTTTTGAATTTTATTGATTTTTCGTTTATGATTTGTAGCGATTCCCTTGAGAAACCACCTGGGAAATCTATTTTTAGCTCAAACCCCCAAATTGTTCCTCTTCAGCCTCGTTTCCCAAACTTATGACTTTTGTGTACCCTTTCTAAATTTTTCGTCAAGCTGTGTACCACTAATGAAAGAAGGAATATATTTTTTACTGTAAAAAAATTGCCCAAAAGTTAAAAATCACACCTGGCTGTTGATACCACTCATTATTAACTGCTAACTCTGCGAAAAAATAGCCAATAGAAAAATACGTAATCGTAAATTTTCATGGCTAGTTTTATTTTTAAATAAAATTTGTTGAAATTTTCGTTTGTTGCAAGATATTTCGCATAAAAACGCGTACCCCAGCTAAACAGTTCCCGTACCCTTGGGGGTACGCGTACCGTACTTTGGGAAACACAGCCGTAAGCGATCAGTCGCACAAAGTTGTTGTTAAATTTAAATAAAATTATATTAAGTTTTTACAATCGTCATACTTCTTCTTTTCACATATTGGAGTCATAACAATAAGTTATGTGATTAGTGGAAACCCTTTAACACCTCTAAAAAATTAAGAACTTAAAACGATCGAAATTTTTTTAATTTATTATTTTTTGGAAAGCGATTAAAAATATTTTGTGAGTGCTTAAAGTGTGCTTATTTTTTGTTGAAATATCTGGATGGGCTCTCTGTTCAATTATTATGATGGTCCCGCCAATTTCGCGTTAGCGCTTGTTCGACTATACTGTGAATCACAAATTAGTAATACTTTCTTTAAAGAAAATTAATAGCATTTTCAAAATGACATTTAATCGCGTCGCACCCCACGATTTCTTTCTTACCCTTAGTCAATTTTATTCTAGTATGCTAAACAATTTTCACACACGGAAAAATATTTCAAGGGAATTTCTTGTAGTGATAATAGTTTCGAAGAAGATCGTTACGCCTGTTTGTGTAACTTAAAGAATATTTAATTCCTCCTTCCATTTTGCTTAAAATATATTTAATTGATAACAATAACTGTTTAAATAAATCCTTAGCACATTTTTATTTTCATTGTCTATCGAATTATTTGTGGAGATCTAGGAGTTTTCTTTTTTGCATGCCTCGCTAAATCACGCCTCGTTTCTCCCTCACTCATTTAGTTGTTTATTCATTTAATATTCGGCTAATTGATATGTTGTTTATCACAGGGAAATGATATTTTCTGAAGGGAAAGTTTTCTGATTTGGTACGATGAGTGTAAGATTTTGGAGGAATTAGAATGTTGTTTCTAATCTATTCGAGCACTTGTCTGAAATGTTATTCGTTAAAATACTTTTAACAATGAAAATTGCATTAAAATTAAGTTTAAATCAGAATAATAACTTGCATGTTGTTTTTTTCCTTCCAAAGTATAACGGATAACATAGGTTCTTTTAAAGTTTGAAATTCAAAATTTACTTCTAAAATACTGTTTTGTATGAGAAATTTAAAATTAGTGGATAGAATGAAACGCATTGACTGAAAAAAAAAGCTTGGAGAAAGAAATAACTTTAAAAAAACATGCATTTAATTTAGTTCTGCATGAATTTATTTTTAGGAGATATGTTCTATTCTCATGATTGGTTTCAGTTTTTAAACAGCGATCGAATTATAAACATATAAAGACACTGTCAATTTAGAGAATTCAACTCTTTAATTTTGCCATGAGCTTTAAAACCAATTTGATAAAATAGAGTATTTAGTTTTCTGTTATTACATTCCATCGTCGTGGCAATAAGCGTTTGTTAACTTTTTTATTATTCGATTTTAATTTTTACAGTCTAGTTTTTTAGTAAGATCCTATTACGATGACCGTTTCACTGTATAACGTTATATTCGTGAATTCCCGTTTGCTATTTTATGGATGGTGTATGGCCTGAATGTAAAACAATAACAATCTTTCTAAAACCGAAAGAAATTACGAAGGTGATACTATTCAGCTTTATTCTTTTTACGACACTGAAACCGGCTTGCACTTGTTTACATTAGAGTATCAATTGGTTAAATTAGATGATATATAATATAAATTCGACGATTATTGGATAAATTAGAAGATATATTATACAAATATAGAATATTTATTATATCAAGTATAGTATTAGTGTATAATTATGATTATACCAAATTATTAGACGCACTGTAGTGTTTTAATAAAAGCATGTTTTACACGAATTTATAGGCTATAATTTTATATTTAATGGGTTTTTATTCAGGTGATTTTTTATATACTTCCTAGTTGCATTTATTTTTAACGTATTGCATTACAATGTTATCCAATTGATACACGAACGTACAGGTGCAAATAGTCGCATTAAAACAATAAAGCCGTATGGTATCACCTTATAATTAAGATTTTACATAGGATCTTATAGTACGTCTAATAATTTGCTGAGGGACTGTATAATTTGAAACTTAAACTTTGCAGTTCTCTTTGTGTGTTTATTTAACCAAAATGGCTATTAGTAGCTACCGTAGCGCCACATCTTTCAAAAAGAATTTTAAAGTTTTGAAGTAAGTTGGTAGTAGAAATTTTTTTTTGTCAAAATACATCAGGCATTTATGAGTTTTGGAATAAAAATTGCTGTAATCTTCTGTACATCTTGATATATATATATTACGACATCCCATTATAAGATCCATTCTTGTTGTGACCATAGGGATCGTTATATCGAGAGCCAACTGCATTTCAAAAATACTGTACAGCAANCAGTTTTTTTTTAAATCAAAATTAACACTAAACCTAACTACATTTTATTTTTACCAATGACAGTCTAATGGTCACTTTTCAAATAAATGTTATATTCTTTTCCAGTTATAAAAAATAGAAATTTAGCTTAGGAAATAAAACAGAAATTAATTATCATGTAATGATTGAAAGACATGAACTTTTTCTGCCTTTAGGAACATGCATTTTTAGAAAGAAGACTCAAAATTATATGTTACTTCAGTAATTCACTTAGATATCATCATTTGAATTTACAAATGTAAAATATCCTGGTCCCTGTGGCAGAATTTTTTTGGGCTTTCTGCGATAAATCTCTCCAGCATTAATATCTTTCTGCAAGATACTTTTAATAATAAAAAATATATATGTTACTAATTTAAAGTAACAAGAGCGTCAACTTCAAAAGAAAAAAAAAAGTTTTCGGAAAAAATAATGTAATTTTTAAAACTGAATATGTAATATTTTTTATTCTATTGAGCTATATTCTCGCATCTTGTAGGGAGAAAACACACTAATTATTTTATTTTTCTTTCTCTGTAAGTCATCATCAAATTTAAAAACAAATTAAAAATAGTGAAATCCATAACAGTAACTAACGAAGAAAAAAAAAGCGATCAAAAAAGCCAGAAGTCACGCCAAATCAAACTCTTTAAAAAGGGTGTTACAAATGCGTGTTTTCATTTCAAGATTCAGCTGTTGTCATAAATAATATCAGATTAAAAATATCGGATTTTAAAAACTATGTGGAAATCAATAGCAATAACTGAAAAAAATAAAATAAAACAAATATTTCTGCAGAAAAGAAATCCAAACTTCCTTACTTCATTATTCTCAAATGAAAATAGAAAAATTACAAGCCTTTTTTTTCAACTCCGATGCTCAAGAATGTCATATTTGGAATATAATTCTGAAGAAAAGATAGTATCTTTCGAAAATTTCTGCAGAAACGAAAACCAAAATTTTTTACTCCCCAAAGGAAAAATCTTTCTGCAAGAACTCGGTAACATTCTGTGACAATGTCGCCGTT